TCCGTCCCTTATATTCTGTCCAGGCTACCCACCGTTAGGGGAGTAACACTCACATTCGGGGCAGATCCTGCCATTTTCTACTCCCAGAACTATGCCAAACCAATCAGTGTACTAATTTAGTAATTACATAGACTTAATCCCAGCATCACATACTCTAGATCCAGCCACCTCTGAAAAACATCACGCATGTCTGCATGAGGCTTTGGGGGAGATCTAAACACAAGCTGTAACAGTCCAGATTGGACAGACTGGGGTCTTGTGGTGACTTACAAACACCAACAGCAGAACCTCAGCATGCACTAGGGTCAGCAGGGTTCCCTGAGAGGCTACCATGCCAGGCTTTTCTTCACAGCTTCACTGCTCCCACACAGCAGCTCTACTGTGCCAGGCTTCCTTGATTCCATCATGACCCCGGGCATGAACCTCTTCATTGCCTGGATGGAAGTGATGGTTCACTTCCATCTTTGTTCCTGGTGGGAAGGCCATGTGGTCTCATTGGCCTACTTCCCTTAGGCCCAGCAGCCCAGGTGTTATCCTTGACAGAAGCCTGTTATTGTCTATGGGGACTATGGCATAGAACTGCAATTCTAGGTGTAGCAGAGTAAGACCTGTGATGATGCTTCCAGGCTGAGGTCACAGTGGCTGATGGCAGCACAGGGCAGATGCTTCCTGGGGTGGTGGTGGCTGTTTACTCCTTGGCCCTGTGTGATCATTTTGCTTCTGTTGCTGGGAACAGATACCCAGGGGACAACAATTGCAATTCCTTCACAGCAGTAACCAACAAACAGTGAGAGCTGTTTTTCAAAATAGTTTTTTAAAACATAGCTGGAGATGAATAGGGCAAGGTTGTTATGACGATCTCCTGTGGCATAAAATAAAAGGCGCGTGCTTGCCGTAGTCACCATGACAACATCAGGTCCACAAACACACAGCCATCTGCATTTACATTCCATTAAGAATAAAGGTTTCTGTTGCAAAGCCCCTGATCTGACATGGACACTCTTTACCCACAGATCAAAGACCCAATCTGTTTTACTAATCCGTGTTCAAAGGCACTACATCCTGGATAATTACCTTGTAATTCTCATTTGAATCAAATTACATTTAGGATAACTCAAAATACAATTATTAAAAACTAATGACTTTAGGTCAGGATTATTCAGCTCTGCCTTCCCATTTCTCCCACTCAGTTCTCCTCTTCTCTTTCACCAACTCAGCCTTGAGCCTGGAGGTGGGAAAGAAGTTGTCAGAGAGCAGGCTCTTTCCTGCAGTGCAGGAAGGATGATCACTTGGTAGGGTTGTTTTTGTGTCCCTGTGGTTTGTGTTCATCTAACCTATCTGTTCCCAGGAATAGAAGAATAAGCTCAAAATCTCCATAGTCTACATCCAGACCAGGGAGGGTATCTCTACCCAAGCTGGATGCTCAGCATAGCTCTCTACCCTGGATGTTCAGCACAGCTTTGGTGAGTTTGGCTTTGATGTTGTTGAGACACATCTTGTGGAACTCAGGATTCCTTCTTTGATATCTGCCTTTAGAAGCAGATGTTCAAACAATTTCTCAAGAAGCCTTTAATTTTGTTCTGTGTGTAAAATAACATGAGAAAATTTCTGTGCAACAAAATAAGCCCACTGTTCTCCCTCCATTAAATAACTATTCCCCGGTGACACTGATGGGAGCCAAGCTGTGACCATGTCCACACACGAGCTAAGGTCTTTCCTAAGGGGTTGAATGGGCTACAGAGAGTAAAAACAAACTTTCCATTTGTATTCTCATGTCCTTAAAACAATTTCAGAGCTTCAACACTACCCACGCCCACACACACTAAAAATTCCATAAAAAATCATTTTAAGTCTCAATCAAGTCTAGATACTGTATAGTAAAATAATTAAAACAAAATGGTCATGAAGGACCATAAGAGTCCAGGTCTTACGGGAGATATTTTACATTGTCCCCTTCAACACTCAGAAATACCCTGGAGTATTTCAACATCTCTTTTAACAATGTCTCCATCCTACCATACTGGCCACTGTGAGGGGACACAGACTGGGTTAAGGCTACGTCTTCGGTAGGAGCTTTGCCTCCAAGTAGTGAGCAGGTCTGAATAGGCGCCACCAAATGTGTGGATGGCCCAACAGGAACAGGGTTCAGACAGAACTTTTCAGAGGGGTAAAATGTGGATTAATTTCAGGGAAAGAAATTAATTTCCTGTGATGAGACAAGGAGAGAAGTCATGACTGAGATGGAGAGAGACTGCCTAGGCCCAGGTGAAAAAATAGGCAACATGTGTGTGAGACTAGAAAGAGCACTAGTATTACCAATCTTCCTGTTACTACTTAGTGCCAGCTGGCAGTGGCATCTTCCTTGATGCTGTGACCTGCCGTAGGACAGATACCTCTGTGTTCGAGACCCCGAAGGGAAGGGGTCATGTGAATAGATACTGTCATCCCTGCATAGTCCCCACATTAGTTGATCTACCTAAAAAACAAGTCAGCACCATTTTACTTTACCTTCCTCCTACACATGCTTCCTCCTGTGAGTTTTAACAACACAGAAAGAAGAGAAGGAGGTGTCATTTCACGTGCCACTAAAGCAGCCTGTCATCCTGCCCTGCGACAGTTGGATAGGTGCTCTGTGGGGTGGTCACATGGCCTTTCACTTGGAGTATTTTTGACAGGTTTTTTTTTTTTTAACTTTTAACTAGTTCCACGTGAGGCTGTAGTTCTGATGGATTCTACCAGATGTTGTGTTAAAGTCTGTTCAGATGCAGAGCAGTGTAAATAAGTCTGCACTTAGAGGCTCTGCCAGCCTTGAGGAGAATTTCTCTCTGGCTCTCTTTCTTCCCCGAGTTCTTGGAGCTCCAAGTGGCCTGCTGGCTACTGCCTACCAGGTGGAGGTCTCCTCTGAGTGGTATCTGTGGCTGCAGAAGAGGCCAAGGGGGAGGGAAGGAAAATGTGCCTGGTGCTGCTGCCTGGTGACACGCAGGGACTCAGTGCTGAGCGAGGTGATAAAAGGAGAGGAGGTTGCAGGGTGGGCAGATGGAACCCGCCCAGCCCCAACAGTAAGCGATGATCAGGCTGCCCCACAGGACACTGCAGAAACTGTTTCTTGGAAAGGTAAGGGGAGCGTTCAGCTGGACTAGGAACTCCTGAGGCATGGGATGATCTTTAGTCATTGCTGGGCATCGCTACTGTAACCAAGAGCTTGGTCAGTGAAGACAAGGCAAAAGAGAAGAAGCTACTTGCCAGGGTAGAGTGAAATGTCACATATCGGTGATGGAGAGGTGGCCTAGGTTGTGTGTCACAGGTGGGTGCAAAAAGCAGCCAGTGTCTCTGGTTAAAGTTCTCTCTGGTTTTTAATTTCTCTTGCTTTTGAGGGTGTGTCAGAGCCCAGGCAGATTTAATATTATTCTCAAGTGTATTTTCACAGTTGAAGGCAAGGGTACCAGTCATTTTTCTGCAATTTTAGAAGCAAAAAAAGGAAAGAATGACAGAGGTAATATTATACTGTCACTAAATGATAAAGTTTTAGGCGAGGAGAATCAATTAATCAACATCTCCCCATTTACCATTAAATAATCTTTTTTGTTTTTTAAAGCATTTATTATTGTAAAATGTATATAACATAAAATGTAGCATTTTAGCCATTTCTATGTGTCCAATTCAGTGTCATTGAGCACACCCCCATGGCTGTGTGGCTATTACCACCATCCCCAACACCCCAGACTGAAGCTCTGTACCCTTGAGCACCAACTCCTTATTCCTTGTACCCCCCAAATCTGACCATTTTAAATTAAATAACCCAAATACATTTATAGTAAACTGCAGTAAGTATACATCTGATTACCATCCTATCCAGGTCCTGATGAACAGCTCCTACAGTGTATTTGTTGCACATGTTAGAGAAATTATTTTTAATTCTACTATATTTGTATGCCTCTTTTTGAAAAGGCAAAATATCAAATATACCTTTAAAAATCACTGAAACACTCATGGTGATATGATTTATGGTCTTAACATTTTTTGACAAAATCTATGAGTTTCTGTATCCTCATAATTTTTTAGTGGGATCTGAAATGCTTTGATCCTCTTGTGTTGGTACATAGTTCTAAGTGATTATATGCCTAGTTATATGTGGATTTGTGGTGCATATCCTTATATTTGTAGATCTTGGTCCATGAAAGTAAGTTTTAAGGTAAATTTAATTTTGAAAATGGTTCTAAAATGGTATTTTTAATATATGAGGTGAATGAAAGTTATTTCCATTTACCTTTGGGATAAAGAATACTGAAGCACACAGGTAATCAAAATATATAGTGAAAAAAAATTTTAAATGCATTACAGCAGAAGGCACATTGCCATTAATCCCCTCTCAAAATACTCCCCCTTGCTTGCAAGTAAGATAAAAATGTGCTGAATGCAGGAGCCAAGTGCCATCCAGCAGAAAGGCAGGCTCCTAAAGGAATTATAGTGTGTCCTTATCCATCTACCTACTGGGTCTGGCACCACGTACCTTCTGGCTTTTCTCCAAAGTAAAAATTAGCATGAAATGTAAATATTTTGAGCCAACTGAGGACATTGATGCATCCATGACTACATAACTAAAGGCAATCACAAAAGAGGACTTCCAGAACTGCTTCAGAAATTGGCAAGAAAGAAGGGATAAATGTGTTCTCAGTGATGGGGAATATTTGAGAAACATTCATGACAATGTGTCTTTTACTATAACCCAAACATTTACTGTGGTGACACAGTGACACCAGCCACCACGGGAAGCAGACATGTCGAGCAGCACAGGCCCAGCCCCACGTCCAGGCTCCTCCCATGCTCTGTCCCCAGCCAGCCTCTAATGGGCAGCTTCACATGTGGGTTTTCCTGGATTTAAATGAACATCACATAGATGGGATTATTTCTTTTTTCTTTTTTTTTTTTTTTGCATTTAACATTTTTATTTTAGACAGCAAACAACAAAAATAAGCAAACAAACAACCAAAAAAAAAAAAAAAAAAAACGTGAAATAGGCTCATCAAATGATGTAAAGTCATCCTTTCCAGGAAAGCAGAAGGTAGACCCTACCGCAAAAAAAAGATGCTTAGTTAATGGATGTTAAATTTAGAAGTACACTAAAATAGTATCAATTTAACTTCTTCAAATTCTAGGTTTTATTCACTTCCCTGTGGTAACCATAACCACGTAAGTTAGGCTTCCTTATAATTAACTATCACCTAAAATATAAAAATCCATTAATAAGCTACCAATTATCAGATTTGGTCTTACTGGAAATTCTTAACCATAAGTTCTTTTTTTTTCCTTTAAATGATTAATTGTCTTAATATAAGTCACTGCAGTTTTATAATACAATAAAATGAAAACCACAACTATGCTACTGACTTAAACCCACTCTACTACTAGCAAGAAAACTTTTGGTTCTTCAGGAAAAAGTTAATTTTCCTAGTTATACTCCAATTATTATATGATGCAAAGAACCAAATTGCAGCAATGAAGGAGCATGATTCAGATAATCTGTGCATTCAATGTATCTGGCAGTAAAACTATAGTTAAAATGCTAGTTAAACAAATTGGTCTTTAAAATATCGATTCCTTTAAAAAAATTACTGAGTCTACAAAGAAAATACAAAAACATAAGGCTGTAAGTGAATAATAGTTGTGTTTAGGCTATTACAGTGCAGGTTATCCTCAAGGCCACATACATCCTGCTTCACTGCTGCTTGCACGCTGCTGAGTTTTGCTCCTTCTTTGGGTCATAGTCTGGATCATTTTCCTCATCTTCTTCTTCCCCTTCCTCATCCGCTTCTTCACCTTCTTCATTATAATCATCATCATCATCTTCAATAGCTTCTCCGGTGAAATACAACACCGATCTTGGAATTATACCCTCACGTAAAAAGTGACCAATTTCAAAGTCTGCAGCAAGGATAGCTTCGTCAGCATCATCCAGATCTCCACTCTCAGGAACTTCAGGAGGAGCAAAAAAATTAAAGAAAGAATCATTGGAAACTGTTTTAGTCACAGTACGAACTGTCCCGTGTCCCTTACATTTCTGCTTCTTTTTAATGGTTTTCAAAGTGACATTCTTTCCTTTTTTCCAATCTATTTGGCACCCTGTACAGCCCATAATTTCTGGTCCATTAAATGAAAAGAGATCAGAATCATCTGGTTCAGATCTCATCCTATATGTCTTTATCAACACTTCATTTGTGAAATATTCATTGGGTTCAAAGTGAAATTCTAAGATAAAACTCATAGGCTGGCCAGCATCTGAGAACTTCACTTTAATGTCCTTCAAATGCTTCAGAATAGGTTCTCTCGGTGGCATCTGTGTGCTGGCCCTCCTCCCACTGTCCAGAGTGTGCCTCAGGAACTTTCGCTCAGCAGGGCTTTCCACACACTAAGTTTCTGTAGTGTGAGGAACTGGACCTGGGATGTGGGTTGTGGTCCACTTTGCTGAGCTGGGCCCTGCCTGATCACAGGTTTCTCATAGCCAAAGGAGTTCAAACAAAGTCTTTTTAAAATAACAAATATTGGTTTCAGGTAATTTCTAATAAGCTTACATGAGACATCAATGTAGTCTTTAGAGCAAGATTTTTAAAAATATAAATATTCGAGTAGATTAAATATCCTATGGTAGGACAGGAAAAAATGATGAGTAACCTTTGCTGTGTTAAACATTTTTTAGAACCTGCTATTCTTGCCCCTCTGTGTTCTTCTGGGGTCTGTTTCTCAGAAGAAGTCTGGCTGCCTTTCACAGTTATCACTTCTGCATACACCTTGGCCCTGTCTGCCATGAAGACATGTTCTATAGACATCCAGGGTCAGTGTGACTTTGTATCAACCCCGCAAATGGCTAAATATCAGCATTACCAGGTATGAGTGATGCAAAGTCCAGCCAACTGGCTTTAGCAAAAATGGAAATTCATGAGGCCCACAAACTGAAAATTCAGGACACATGGAGTCAAAACTTAAAGATGTTATGGTCACTATCTCTGCAGGTTACATCATTGCCCAGCATGGTCTAGCAGGAGAGAGGAGCCTTGTCTCTGAGCCCCAGTTATTATTACATAATAACTGTCATAGTTTAAATATGAAGTGTCCTCAAAAGACTCACATATTAAGGGCTTGAATCCAAATGCATCAGTGTTCAGAGTGGGGATCTAGGAATGTGTTGAGATCATGTGAGCACAAACTCATCAGTGAGTTAGGTGATTGAGCTATTAGGAGATGGGGTCCAGGTAGAGGGAGGGTCAGTGAAGGGCAGGAGCAGCATTGGCCAACCAGGAAAACATCCAGTATCAGGTACCGCATACCTCACAAGTCAGAGAAACAACCTGAGGTGGGTTGAGTTCTCATGTGTGGGCAGCCAAGGTGGCGCTGGAGAAAGCTGGCCTGTCTATGGGTCAGGGCACACTGGAACACTCGGCATAGTTACTGCATTCTCCTCCTGGCCCTTCTCCAGTTGGCTGCTGCTACATCTGCCCCCGTGTCTTGGGTAAGTGGGAGGAACAGTAGGAGGAATCATGGGAGACACAGGGACAGCTGACTATGGGGAGGACGCAGACGGCTCAGACTCCAGGCTGCTGGGGAGGCCAGCTTTGATGCTATCCAGAAGGTATCCTGAGCACTTGGTTGTCTGCCAGTGACCAGGCCCTACTTCCTGTTGTGTGGAAGGATTTGGGGATCCTCCAGGTGAGATGCCTGCAGAAATGCTGCAGAAACAGTGGTTATTGTGTTTCAAAATTTAGTGTTTGCTCACACTTGGGACAGTTGTCGGTGCTGGTGGGTGTGAGAATGAGCTCTGGACAGTGGCCTGTGCTCCCGTGAGAGCCCAGGTCTTGCTGAGCCTTCCCTTAAACAGAGGGCCTTGTGAGGGGGCTCCTCATGGAAGAGCTTCATGTCCCTTGGTCATTACTTTTATTATTTGAGAGGTTAATACATACCACATTGTTCTAAAGTTAAAACATGAATAAGAAAGTAACAGGAACCTTTCATCCTGTGTGCCAGCAACCCAGTCACCTCTTGACAAGTGGCTCGGATTTCCTCCTCCTGTGTGTCTTTGAAAGTGTGTCTGTGGATAGCTGAGCATGTACAGAAAACTTCGATTTCCAGTCAGTCACAACTTGGATCCATTAATTTTCTCCATTGAAGAGGCTCAAAGAACTCAGGGAAACACATTTATTGGTTTATCATAAAGGGCATTACGTAGGATGCAGGTGAAGAGATGCACAGGATGAGGTGGAGGGAAGGGGTGTGGACCTTCTGTACCCTCTCCCTGCGTGTCACCCTCTGGCACATGCATGTGTTCCAAAGCTCCCAACTCAGGTCCTTGGGCTTTCTTACATCCTCACAGTACCCCAGATTTAAAAAGGCGAATGAGCCAGGCAGGGTGAGAATACTTGTGATCCCATCACTCTGGAAGGCTGAGGCAGGAAGATCACAGTTTTCAGCCCACCCTGAGCAACTTGGTGACTTAATGAGACTTTGTCTCAAAATAAAAAATGAAAAAGGACTGGGGCTGTAGTTCAGTGTAAAGGCCCTGGGTTCAGTCCATAATACTGCAAAACTTCAAAATTGCAAAAAAGAAAAAAAACAACAAAAGAAAAGGAATGACCTCAGAAGGAGAGTTTGGATCTGGGTCCCTGTCTGCTGGGTTTGGGCCCTCAGAGGAAAGTGGGCAGGTCTTCTTGTGCCATGTGCTGCCTGGGGTGACAGGCATGCTCCAGCTGCCTATGTGCTCTTGCTAGCTTTGTTACTGGAGGAGAGTACATGGAGGCTGACAGTTAGAGGGGTGAGAGCAAAGGCATATGCGCAGCCGCAGTAGGGACACAAGAGGGGCTCCGCCTCCAGTTGCGCAAGTGTGTGAGAGAGAAGGGCTGGGAGCTGCAGGGGCCCTGCAGGTGGTGCTGGTTGCTGGACTCCTGTGTCCTCTCCAAGCCACACTCTGCCTTCTGAGTCACCAGCTGTAGGGACAGAGGGTCACAGCCTCCACACATGCTAGATCATTTGTCACAGTGCTACACTAGGAGTTCCAGTGGGCCTGAGTGTGCCCCTGGGCCTTAACACATTTTCCATTTAGAAAAATAAAAGTGCAGCATTCATTTAATTTTCAGCAATCAAGAATTACTGTATTTTTTAAATGGAAATACCACTAGGAAAAACAGGACGCTATAAATAGAATGATGTCTTTTGTTTCCGAAGACTATTGACATACTAGAGAGATGGAAAAATAATAATAAAAGCAAAAATATTTCATGGCAAACTTTGGGAGTAAGGTTAGGACTGTAACCCTGGAGTTATTTCAGGGTAAATGTTTCAGCTGTAGGCCCAGCCTGCAAGTATCCTCAGAGCAAAGAGGAAATGGGTTAAGGATCCCGAGGTAGGTAGAATAGTGTCGTGCACAGAGCCATGAGCCTTTGGTGCCTTTGTAACAGCAGCCAGGTACTGTGCTCACTCTCTTGCTCTCTAAACAAATATTGGGTGGAACTCAGCATTGGGCACTCGGTCATTACTGTAGGCTGAGTTGTATCCCCCAGTCCTGTTGGAGTCCTAACCTGGACCTCAGAATATAACTGTATTTGGATTTATCGTCCTTAAACAGAGTCCTTAAGGTACGAGGCCATCTGAGTGAGCCCTCATCCAATCTGACTGGTGTCCTCATCAGTCGAGAGGATTAGGACACAGACATACAGGGGGACAATCATATGAGGACACAGGGAGAAAATGCCATCTGCAAATGGGGGAGACAGGCCCAAGAGAAATCAGGCCTGATGACATTGATCTCAGACTCCACCTTCCAGCATGGAGGAAGTCAATTCCTGCTGCCCAATGGCCCAGCCTGGGGCCTTGTTATGAAGCTCTAGCTGACCAGGTCAGGCAAGTAACCAGTGAGGAGGGTGGTAGAGCAGCCCCTTCTGGGTGCTAGGAGAGAACAGGACCCTAGAGCTTTTGAAAGGCAATGCACTGGGCTGAGGGGTTGCCTCAGTGTCTCCACCTAGAGCCGGGGTAGCTCCAGTCACTGACTATATGGGCAGAGCTGAGGCCAGGTAGGGACACTGGCCATGTGTGGGAGTGCATATGTTCACTCATGGGCATGAGTAGCCCTGGCCTTTAGCAGCTGAATTGAAGGACTGTCTCTCCCCAGTGTGGCTCTAGCCTGCCCCAGCTCAGTTTCTCTTGCAGGTCCCTGGATTCAGAGGCCGGGCACTGTTCTTTCTTTGGTCTGTCACCATAGAGCTGCGTGTTTGGGAAGGAGAAGAATGCCTTTGGGACCCTAATTACTGCCTCCAGGGCGCCACTCCTGTCCATGAGCTCTAGCTCCTGTGGATGTCAGCAGCAACGTGCTGGCAGCTGTCGAAAGCCTCTGTGTGTCCAACCACGGCCAGCATGGCCCATGAGCAGCTGATGGCTCAGCAGACTGGACGGCACCTATGCTCAGAGGCTGATGCGCTGGTGGGGCCTGGTACTTTTGCCTGCTTCACAGAGGGCCACAGGCTGCGCCAGACCCAGGAGGCCTTTGCATCTGCAGGGGTGGCTGTCCTCAGAGACCTTTTAAAAAGGAAAATCCAGGTCGGTGGATAGAGTTTCGTGAATGCAAAGTGCTGTGTGGGAGAGGGGGTCATAGTAGCATGTTTGAGGCTTATTCCTGGATGTAGAAACTCAGAAAAGTAGGGGTCAGGGGATGAATTGGAGGAGGAGTTGTGATGGCCTGTGATGTCTCAGGGTCCAAGAAAGATACCTAGTGGCTGATGGAGATGGAAGGTTGAAAGAAATTGCTAGAAGAAAATATTCAGACCTCCAGTTTCCTCATCTGAGCTTCTGCTTCTGAGGGAGAAGGAGCTGCACTCACAGTGCAGGCCCAGTGTATTGTTTAAGTCTTACAAGCAAAAAGGAAAAGTGGAGCAGGGAGAGAATTCCCTTTGCAGAACTGTGGGGCTGGAGTGCAGTGTGACAGACTGTTCAGGTGAAAAAAATGACTGAAAAATCCTCGTGTCTGCATGTGCCAGTCCCAGTAGGGCAAAGTTATCAGGGACAGCAGCAGCTCCTAGACCCAAGAGAGGACTGATGGGCCCTTTGTGGAGTACACAGCGTGTTGTCATGGCAACTCTAAGGCCAACCTCTCCCTGTGTTCAGATGTGCACAGCACCGAACACCTGCCAGGTGCAGTTTCTGTATTACAAACTTCTCAAAATTTCTCATAGCTAAGCAGCCAGAATTCAAGATACATTCATTCTTTGGTCTGTGGGACTGTCAGGTCTGTGTGTGTTGAGGAGTGTCCCTCACCGAGTCTTCCTGTCTGGATGCTGGCCTTGCTGTGACCCTGTG